CATGTTTTTAATATACGGGTATATTTGAGAGATATTAATGTCCAAATCTACTCTTTAATAAAACAGATATAACTTCACTTTCATGTTGTCACGAGTCAAACTTTACTTATTTTAAGACTCGAGTACTTCAGTTTTTTTCTACTGCCAAGCTGAGAACATCGCAAACAGAATATGAACTCTAACTGAAAAAAGGAAGGCCAACTGTAAAATGGAAGTTCCATTTAATATCCGATTTCAGTTAATCCTTTAAAGTATATCAATTTATAAATCATGGATGCTATTCTTCAATCTCAGGTGACTCATTTGGCAAGTCTTACTGAGACGAAGCACAGACAAAATAAACAAACAAAACATTTACGCAAATTTATCTTTACGTTGCTCACGCTTAGTGGAATATTGCCTATAAGTGGAACCAGGAGAAATAAATCTAAAAAGAGGACAATTTTAAGATCTGCCCCTGCCTTATTCCATGTAATTCTCACGCTTTCATACATTTCAGTAATTATGTTGACTTTTGTCTTTGAAAAAGCTTCGTATTTAAAATTAGGAAGCATATTAATAAGCGTTATGATGGTTATCTTTCGCAGCGTTCTCTTGTATAAATTTCAAAAGCTCAAAGAAATATTTTCTGATTTACTTAAAACAAATACAAGTATTAGTTCACGAAATATAAAGTGCATATACGCATGGATAATTTCAGGTATATTAATTCATATTACACACTTTATCATCGCAGCAATTATACTATCCAATTCTTTTCCTTCTAGAATTAAAGTATATAACAGCAAATTAGACACAAAATTCTTCTATGCGACGTTAGGCACAACATCATCATTTGTTTTAACTTTTCCGTTGATGTTGCCAATGAACAATTTTGCGGTATATTATGTAATAGTTTGTGAGCAATTGAAATCTTTGCTGCAAAATTTTGAAACTCGGTTTTTGAGTGTAGAAGTTTTGAATGCAGAGATGTTATGCCGGGAATATCATATCATAAAATCGAAAATACTTTCTGTTGATGATGATCTTTCTGTGCTAATTTTCATTGCAGTAATAGCCGACGCTGCATTAATGTATGATACTTTATCCCTCTATCTTAACTATAATGCTTTTCTTGCTTCAGGCAGACTTGAAATAATCATAAATTTGTTACTCCTTGTCTACTATTTTTTATCTTTCATGTTCATGTCGATTTCAGCTGTTTCAGTATCCGAAACATCAGCTAAAATATACGAAGTTGTCCAAGCCTTACCTTGCAATGCTTTCTCAGTTAAATCAGGGAAACAAGTTCTTCTCTTTTCCATCCCGAAAGAAATTAATTTAACGGTTTGGAAAATAACACCGATTAAAAGAAGCTTTATTTTAGGTACTGTAGGTGCTGTTACTACCTATGTAGCTCTACTAGATGGTTTTAAACTTACAATTTAAATAATTTTTGTGTCCTTTGTATTCCTTGCCTTCAGCTTTAAGGTATGAAATGTTAATAAAAACTACTTCAGTTTTACCCAGGTGGAATTCGAAGTATTCAGAAACTATAATAAGGTTTAAGAAATGTCCAAAACTTTTTAAATTAACTTTAATTAGTACTGAAAGTATAAATTAATAAGAAATACATAGTATTCTTTCATTTCAACATTTATGTTCATCAAACTATTTTTAAGATTATACGCAATCAATGAGGCTACATAAAAACAAAAAGAAAAGTTTTTTTTTTAATTAAGTGTTTAATTTATTGAATTTGCAAAAGAATTGAAAAACTTTTTGAATTAAACTAATTTAACATCTTCGTACAATAAATTTTAATAAATGCAATACAATGCAAATACAATAATTCAATACAAATACAATAAATTTTCAATATCTTATTGTTAGAGTTTGTAACAATTTTCGAATGTAGAATTTAATTAGGATAATGGTTGTGAGCGACGGAAATTATATTTAGAGGCATTTTAATTTTTCAAATTTTTTTATTTTTTATTTTATTTTAGTAGTATTTGTCTGTAGTAGTACTTATCTTTTAAAACAATAAAGAGATTTAATAAAAATACAAATGGAATACTTCGTCAGACAGTATAAAGCATTTTTAATTGAAGCAATTTTAAAGTGATCTTTCAGGTAACGAGAAACTATATTAACAATGGCTCTTCAGTTCTTAAAGTGACGCAGAAAGTTAGGATATCAATGACACGATTTCCATGGTAGTGAAGTGCTTATTGAGGGTCCAAAGAGTTTTAGAATTGAAATGATGTAGCTAAAATGTAGCAAAGAATTAAAAAATGCAACTTGGTGTTATTTTTGATCTTATTTTACTTCTATGTCAGAAATTTATAGATAATTGCATGAAAAATATTTTTTCCAATATGTTGTTTCATGCATAATATTTTAACTTTTTATAATGTGATTAAAAATATATATGCTTTGTTAATCATGTATATTGCCCATCCCGTTTCTTGGAAGGGAAAAAATTCGAAAGGGCACCACACCCATAAATGATTAAATTATTCCAGTATTGTTTACTTAGTCTCCAGTGAACAAGATTTTAATTTTACAATTATTCAGTATCATATTATTTTAATGAATTCATGTAATGAAATTTAATAATTTAATGAATTCTCAGAAAACCCACAATTTTGTTTACATTATCGAATTTTTATATGGTGAACTCGAGGGTCGGCAACTTATTTATTTTCCTTAAATAATGATTTTTCAATCCAAATTAAGCATTAAAAATCATTAAATAGTACGTAATAGAAATCAATACTCCCGCAACCTATTAGAGTATCTGAATGATTTGATTACCTTAAAAGCTATTTAAACTTTTTCATCAAACATGTATCCAATGTAATGAAATATTCAATAAATATGATTACATGATATTGGATTTTTTATTTCATACCAAAATAAATTGTTTGTTTGCAAGTAACATGTTTAAGAAATTATTATTATTTTTTAAATCAATAGTTTTATTTAATTCATTAAATTATATTGTATAAAGGGAGCTATGTTTAATGGGAAATCTTTTTCCCATTGTATTAATTTAATTGCCGTGATAGATATTGCCTGAATTAATTTTTTTCGGAACTAATTTCACGGGACTGAATAATAAGTCATGCAAGATAAAATGTCTAAAATCAATTTAATATAAATTGATTGTTTGTAGGGATTTTTCTTCTTTCGCAGTGAAAGAATAAATAGTTTTTGTTCTATTTGAGTGAATATATAGTTAATATATTCAGATGAGAAATGAAAGTTGTTTTTGTTACCATTATTAAAAGAGAGCTAACAAAAAACATCTACTCTGATCACATCTCTTTTAAATAAAAATAATCTTTGGAAAGTTTACTAATAAAAACAACTTCATAATTCAATTTATATTTCTTTCTACAATTTGACTGTACTTGTGCTGATTCCCGATAAAGATTATTAAAACACAAAAACTTTTCATTAAACGAATAACACCATGTTTGGGACAGTACAACCGTTAACTACAAAGCACATCTAGTGTTCTATGTACTTGTAAGAAGTTATTTTAAATTTTGCTACGAACTTTTCTACAAAAACCACCTACATAGTACAATTTAATTTGTTTTCTACCATGTATTTATTATATTGACTACATTTGCGCTGATTCCAAACCCAAAGAATCTTCATTAAGTGAAGAAAGAGCATGTTAGCTCCTGGAGAACCATTTAGCACAAATCACATGTTGCTTCTGGAGAAACATTTATTACAAATATTATCTAGTTTCCATGTATTTAAAAGAATTTATTTTAAATTTACGACGAAGTTTACTTTCGAAAACAACCTACATAATTCAATTTAATTTGCCTTCTATCATTTGTTAATTTTATTGATTACATTTTGTGCTGATTAAAGAAAAAGAATATTAAACATAAGAACTGTTCCTTAAACGAAAAAGAGTGGCGCCTGGAGAACCACTAATCACTGAGTACATTTAGTGTTCTATGTATTTAAACGAAGTTATTTTAAATTTTACTGCGAATGTGACTACGAGAACCACCAACTTAATTTAATTCAGTTTGTTTTCTATCATCTGTTAATTGTATTGATTGCATTTGTGCTAATACCAGAAAAAGAATATTAAAACACAAAAACATTTCGTTAAATTAATAAGATAGTGTTTGGTGTCATTCCATTCAGAAAACAGAGTTTTAAATTATATTTTAAAGATAATGGATATTTACTCTTAAATTAAACCGTGCTATTCATAATAAGTGCTAGATGTGGTATAGCCATTTTAGGCAAAAAATAAGCAAACCAAAGTAAGAAAAGAAAAACATTAATCAAAGAAAGCAACAAAAAAATATTATATCATAATTTAGAGTTCAATTGATATTTGAGTTTTTGCTATACCAGAAATAAAAACCTATTTGAAACTGAAATAGAAATGCGATAGAATCGTTACAGAATCTAATGTAGTTGGTTTTAAATTTATTGATATGATTTATCAGCGAAATTCCTTGAGCTTTACGCAAAACTAACGCGTGAGAAGAGCAGTCATATGATAATTATAAACGTTGCTGTAGATTGAATTAGAAATGCATAAAATACCGTGATATTTTGTCTCGACCAATAAAAATAAAAGAAATCTTCCGATATTTCAACTACAGTCTTGTGAGAATTTGAATACAAATGGGAAATAAAGAACTTATCTAATAGGAACTCAATTTACAAACCACATTTGTCATCGGAAACTGTTAGATATTTGAAATTAATGAGAAAGATTTTTATTTCATGTCCCATTATGTTATTTTGCCGATATACGCATAGAAGTTAACTTCTGATATTTTTAAAAAAAATTATGCTTTTAATATACGAGTATATTTGAGAGATATTAATGTCTGAATCTACTCTTTAATATAACATCGCTTTCATGTTCTCGCTAGACAAATTTTACTAATTTTAAAACTCGAGTACTGCCAAACTGAGAACATCACAAACAGAATATGATCTTTAACTGAGAAAAGGAAAGCCAACTGTAAAATGGAAGTTCCATTTAATATCAGATTTCACTTAATCCTTTAAACTACATCAATTTATAAATCATGGATGCTATTCTTCAATCTCAGGTGACTCATTTGGTAAGTCTTACTGAGACGTCGGACAGACAAAAGAAACAAACAAAACAACTACGCAAATTTGTCTTTACGTTGTTCAGGCTTAGTGGAATATTGCCTATAAGTGGAACCACGAAGAATAAATCTAAAAGGAGGACATTGTTAAGATTAGCTCCTGCCTTATTCCATGTAATTCTCACGCTTTCATACATGTTTGTAATTATGTTGTTTTTGTCTATGAAAAGGCTTCTTTTTTTAAGTTAGGAAGCATATTATTAAGCGTCATGATGGTTATCTTTCGCAGCGTTCTCCTGTATAAATTTCAAAAGCTCAAAGAAATATTTGCTGATTTACATAAAACAAATACAAGTATTAGTTCACTAAACATAAAGTACATGTATGCATGGATAACTTCAGGTATATTAATGCATATTACACACTTCAGCTTTACTGCAATCATACTATCCAATTCCTTTCATTCTAGGATTCATTTATATAACAGCAAATTAGACTCAAAATTCTTCTTTGCGGCGTTAGGCACAACAGCATCATTTGTTTTTACTTTTTCGATGATGTTGCCAATGAACATTTTTGTGGCATATTATATAGTAGTTTGCCAGCAATTAAAATCTTTGTTGCAGCAGTTTGAAATTCGATTTTTGCGTGCAGAAGCTTTGAATGCAGAGATGTTGTGCAGGGAATATCATATTATTAAATCGAAAGTAATCTCTGCCGATGATGATCTTTCTGTGTTAATTTTCATTGAAGTAATAGTCAACGCTGGATTAATGTATGTTACTTTATCCATCTATCTTAACTATAATGATTTTCTTGCTCCAGGTAGACTTGAAATTATCTTAAATTCGTTATTCCTTATCTACTATTTTTTATCTTTCATGTTTATGTCAATTTCAGCGGTCTCAGTAACGGAAACTTCAGCTAAAATATACGAAGCTGTCCAAGCCTTACCTTGCAATGCTTTCTCAGTTTCCTCAGGCAAACAGGTTCTTCTCTTTTCCATCCCGAAAGAAATTAATTTAACGGTTTGGAAAATAACACCGATTAAAAGAAGCTTTATTTTAGGTACTGTAGGTGCTATTACCACCTATGTAGCTCTACTTGATGGATTTAAACTTTCTGTTTAAATAAATTTTGTACTCTTTGCCTTCAGCTTTAATCCATTGAATGGTAACAAAAACTACACCAGCTTTACCATGGTCGAACGCAAACTATCTTGAAACTATGATGAGGCTGCAAAAAAATGTCGAAATGTTTCAGTACTAATTCATTAAAATGTCCTAATACTGAAAGTATAAATTAATATGAAATACATAATATTCTTTAATTTCAGCATTTATGTTTTTTAAACCATTTCTAAGATTATACACAATCACTGTGGGTAAATAAAAAACTTTTTCAATTAAACTTATTAATTTAAAAAGTTTCTTTATAAATAATACATAATACTATCTTTATAAATAATACAATAAAGATCTTTATGAATAATACAATATGTTTTCAATATCTTATTGTTAGAGATTGTAGAAAGTTTCGAATGAAAAATTTAATTAAGATAATGCTTGCGGTCTATGAGATTAGGTTTAAATGCACATATTACTTTTCGAATTTAATTTTAATTTTTTCATTTTATTAGTATTTGTCAGTGCTAGTACATATAGTTTTAAAATAATGAAGAGATTTAAAAATACAGATGGTTTGCTTCGCTAAAAAGTATAAATCAATTTTAATTGATGCAATTTAATGATGGTCGTTGAGGAAAAGAGAAACTATCGCTGATAACAATGGCTCTTCAGTTCTTAAAGTGACACAGAAAGTTAGGATATCAATGTTATGGTTAAGAAACTATCTATAATAACAATGACTCTTTAGTTCTTAAAGTGACTTAGAAAGTTAGGATATCATTGTTATAGTTAAGAAAATATCCAATAATAATGATGGCTCTTCAGTTCTTAAAGTGACTCAGAAAGTTAGGATATAAATGTTATGATTTTCAAGGTACAAAAGTATTCATAGAAAAAAATTACGATCAAAATCATATTATATTTGATTTTTTCTACAAATTCTTCAAAATATAAAGTCTGGTCATTTCATTTATTTTGGTTTTTAGCACATTTTTACAGTCAGAAAGAATATTTCCATTTTGGTAACTGTTAGCGCCAATTATGAGGGAAATTGAGGGTTCAAAGAGTTTTAGAATTAAAATGATGGGTACTACTCTATTTTCATGGCGACCGCGATAATCATGTAAAAAAAAAGAAGCAAAAAGTTGCGCAAAATGGTTGCAATTGAGTAACCATACACACTTTCACTCTCGGTTCCATTTAGGCTTTGCCTGCAAACCGCATGATATAATAATTTATTATTTTCCAATTTTGAACATTGAAAAATTTTTTTTGACGATTTTTAATTTATCGATGAGCTAGGAAGAAGTCATTTCGTTTTTACAGGAAAAAGAGGTACTACCTCTTTCTCTACGTGAATGGACACGAAATGAAACTCTACGTCAGGGGTGGCCAACCTGCCGCTCGCGAGCCATATGCCGCTCTTTGAAGGATTATTTGTGGCTCTCGATAAATGTACCCGAGTTCCATTTTCATTTTTCTGCTATTATATTCTAAAAAATTATTATCGTTCCGTGTGTGTTTCAAAATGTCTCTTAAATTACTGAGAGCAAATATGGACAAATATTTCGCAATCGCAACGCTTGAGTACGCCCTCTATCGGGAGTCTGAAAATATCAGGCATTTATTTATTAAGTTTTCATTTAGTTCCTTCAAAATCACTGGAAGAGACTAAGCTTTTCTAAGCAGAAAAAAAANATTTTTTCTGCAAATTCTTCAAAATATAAAGTCTGGTCATTTCATTTATTTTGGTTTTTAGCACATTTTTACAGTCAGAAAGAATATTTCCATTTTGGTAACTGTTAGCGCCAATTATGGGGGAAAGTGAGGGTTCAAAGAGTTTTGGAATTTAAATGATGGGTACTACTCTATTTTCATGGCAACCGTGATAATCATGTAAAAAAAAAGCAAAAAGTTGCACAAATAAGAGTAACTATGCACACTTTCACTCTCGGTTCCATTTAGGCTTTGCCTTCAAACCGCATGATATAATAATTAAATTTTAAACACTGAAAATTTTTTTTGACGATTTTTAATTTATCGATGAGCGAGGAAGAAGTCATTTCGTTTTTACAGGAAAAAGTGGTACTACCTCGATTATAGAGTATACGTGAATGGACACGAAATGAAACTCTATGTCAGGGGTGGCCAACCTGCCGCTCGCGAGCCATATGCGGCTCTTTGAAGGATTATTTGTGGCTCTCGATAAATGTACCCGAGTTCCCTTTTCATATTTGTGCTATTATATTTAAAAAAATTATTATCGTTCCGTATGTGTTTCAAAATGTCTTTCAAATTACTGAGAACAAATATGAACAAATATTTCGCAATCGCAACGCTTGAGTACGCTCTCTATCGGGAGCCTGAAAATATTAGGCATTTATTTATCAAGTTTTCAATTAGTTCCATCAGAATCATTAGCAAAGTCAGGCCCCATTTTCTAAACAGTAAATAAGAAGCAAAGTTTCCCTAAGGAAAAGGCAGAAGAACTTGAAAAAACTCTCCAGAACATTGATAAATCTTGCAGAAATAGAACATGCCAAACATTTGAAGAAAAATTCCTTAATAAATTTTAACTTCTATTATCAACAAACTTGCAACTAATAACTTTCGATTTCGGAATCTCATACTGTTACAGATGTGTGTATTACGGTAAAATACATTTTTTTTGTCTTCAATTCATTACAAATTATAGTGAAGTCAACATTGCTTTCTTCATTCCAATGAATAAATGTGAATTCAGAACGAGCAGAACTGTTATAGCTAGGGAATATTCTTCTTCTTTATAGAATAGTATATATTTCTGTGTCTATATAATTCTGAAAACAACAATAAAGAATCATCCGAATTACTTGAAATAGTATCATTTGTGCCGATTATTAATAAATTTTTATCGTTTTCTTGGTAATTATTTTTTAGTTTCGAAAGAATAATTTTAACTAGAATTCAGCTATTCTGTTTTTAAGCTACATATTAAAATTCATATCGACATCTTGCCATTATAAAATTTTGCTGTCTGGTATGTTATCTGAAAGTAATGAAGGGATGATCTAAGTATATATTATTTGAAAATAAAGTTTTCAAACGAAGAACATTTCATTTGGAATTTTCCGGATTTATAAAGCTGGAGAGTGTTATGATTTTTATAATAAAAAATCAGCTTGCAAATAAATTTTTCTTTGATGATAGTTCTCTACCGAATGGTTTTTTACGTCTGATTAAGAACTGTAAGAATAAAAAAAAGGAACAATATGAAAGTTTTTTATTTCAATATGAGGAATTTTTAAAATCATTTTTCTAAGAATTCTTTATTTTACGTTTTTTTGTTTATAATTCTTTTATAAAAATTGTTGCCAAAATACTTTTTTTGAAAAATTAAATGGTATAACATTATGTGTTTATGTATACTTCTTGCATATTCTAGTGTATGAAGTAATATGATTCAGAAAAGTATGGAATAAAAATTCGGTACTTACGTGTTAACGCTACCACAGCTACAGATTTGGCGGTTTTTAAGTGCAGCCAATCTACAATTAAAATTTCAGCTATAAATCATAAAATAAAACACTTTATTTAAAATCAAAACACTTTATTTAAAATCAAAGTAGTCAATCGGATTTCGGTGGAAAATGGGCCGATATAGAATTTAACATAGATTCAAAACAATCTCTATTTTCTTTCACCTGATGCTGTTGCCATATGAACTCTAATAAATAAGATTCCAAATGAAATAACATTTCCAGATCATACGTTTACCAAAATAAAATTTCATGTCATGGGAATTGATACATTTTCGTTTTTTCGGTAAAATATTTCGCTCCTGAAAAAATAAAAACTTTTTTTGCAAAATTAAATTATATAAAATTATGAGGCTTATGTATACTTTTTGCTTATTTTAATGTTCGAAGTAATATGATTCTTTAAATTATGGAATATAAAGTTTAAATAGGCCTTTCATATTATATCATTAAATTTAGCAAAACTATTTCTCAGGCATAGGTTTTAACTCTAATAAGAAAATACATATTTTGTTTTCTGTTTATTGACAAATATTTTACCGATGGTTTTGGATGTTCCTTCTCTTAAAAAAAGAGATACCATTTTGCTTTCGTTTGCATAAGAAAGAATATCAAACCTTTTTCTTTTTTAAATTTAATAAGTCACAATAAAGAAGGAACGTTACAAAGCTACACGCTACATTAAAGACGTCTCCAGAGTAACTGAATGACTGTTCATATAGAAATTGCAGGTATGCGTCTTATACAACAACGCCCCCTATAGTTCGTTACGACCGCGATTTTTTGAACAGCAGAGTTGTTGGTTTTTTTAGACATCAGTTTTGTTTTAGAATTTGAGTTTTCTTATAACCCGTTACGGGTTTCTCTAGTTTGTTTTACAAGATCATAACTATCCCGTTATGGGTATTTCATTTTTGTTACTGTTTGTGTTGTTTGTGAACAAAAGTTTTTTTTTAATAAGAAACAGAACTGTTATTTATATAGCTTGATACGCTACAGTACTAAGATCCAACGGACGCGCATAAGATGCAAGTGACAGTCAGGAGGTACGTCACCAGTGGACCTAATTCTAAAGAATGGGTGGGGAGAGCCTGGTTGGTAGGACGTTGGACACATGCTCGTGAGAAAGAATGTTTGAATCCAGCTGACAGAAGAATCTTCGTGCATTAAATGGTGACTGGTGTGCGTTATATTTGCCACAAAGCTCTCCAAGTTCCCATAACAAAGCAATACCTCTAGGGGTACTGAATTGAATATTGATCGTTCGCTGTTTCAGGTCAAAATTACGATCTGCGGATAAATGAAAGTTATGGGAATGAGTCCTCCCTGTGAAACGGGTTGTGATGTATGTGTGCAGCAAAATCATGCTCTCGGCCATAGATGGCGACACTGAAAAACAAGAAGCGAATGCTTTTTCCAAGAACTTATGGTGTGTTATTACAGGTGAGTCTCTCTCCCTCTCACCATCTATATATATATATATAAATAAATACAAGAAAACACGAAGAAAGTTAAGAAAAGCAATAAGTTTTTACTTATTTCTACTTCTTGTGTTCTATTTTATTTGTTGTAATTTTTGTAAAAAAAATTTCGAGTGCTCCTCACACTATTGTATCAATATATTTTGCTTTGGCTTTATTGATACAATATCAGAAAGCACTCTGTTTTGCGGATATAATCGTGCGGGCTGATGAAAAGATTATATCTTTTTTTTTCCGGTTTTTTTTAAATAAAATTTCATCTTTTTTTAAACTGTAGTTTGTTATTTTTTTACTTATTATTCCCCCCCCCTTTTTTTTTCATATGCCTAAAATTTTTCTTTGTTTTATCTTCATTTTGAACTTATATATATACTTATATATTTTGTTTCAATTTTCTTAGTGCTCCTCACACTATTTTATCGATATATTTTGTTTTGGCTAGTTTTGGCTATATTGATACAATATTAGAAAGCATTCCTTTCAGCGTATATAATCGTGTGAGCTAGAGAAGAGATTATATCTTTTCATTATTTTGTTCTCCGGATTTTTAAAATATATTTTTTTGAAATTTTTTCTTAAATATTTTTTTAAAAAATTTTATTTTAATAATTTTTCATCTTTTCTTTTCATTAATTTTTATTATTTTCCATGTTTTCTCTATATTTTAAACTTATTTTATGAGTTCTATATACTAGCAGCTTATGCCTAGTAAATAAAACTAATTTTTTTTTTTTTTGAACATTTACTTTTAAATTTCTTTTGCACATACACTTTTGAACATTTGGGTCCTTAACCTAATCAAGGTCTTTCTTTCGCATTTGCAACAACAGCTGAAAAGACGAAACTTGTAGTTATAGTTTCAATGTTTCATTGTTTTCAGAAAGCAAGGAATTTGCATTGAAGGACAAGACATAATGCACATTTTTTATTTATGAATAATTCTAAGCATGATGTAACATGTTAATTTATCTTCTTTCCCTTAATTTATTTACTTTTAATAAATATGTTAGCATATGTAGCATTTCATGAAACATCTGTTCGTGACAAATAAACTGAGATGGTGATTTTTACATTTTCGATGCAGTAAAATTCGTAGTTTTTCATACCATACTTTTTTTTATTACCCAATTTTGAACATTATACAATTTAGGAATACACGAAATTAAGGAATAAAATGTTTGTAAAAATCACTACTTTTAACGAAGTGGTATTAAAAAATTTCAGAGCCAGATTTTATTATATTTAGAAAGAATGTTTTTCCATTAAAAATTTCTTTTCTATGGAGGGAGAAATGCATAATTTTTACTGGTGATGCCGAAGTTAAACGAAGATTATTTTGCCTTTGCTAGGGTTATAGCAACTATTACTTTCATTGATAATTTTTATAATAATTATTATTTAAAATTTTGTTGTAATATGTTTCTTGAAAAGCACTATTTTCCAGCAGATCAAATTTTTATTATCTATAGAGAAAATATTTGAGAGTAGGGGTGATATTTTTTCTACGTGAAGAATTATGCATAATCACGCGGTAGGTAAAGAAAGATTATTTTAAATTTGCCAAGATTTATAATATTTATTGTTTTTGTTGTTGTCATAGGCAACCAAGGCAAGAGATGTGAGATTGTTCCTGGTCTTCAGTGGCGCCATTTATGGCCAAGAATTCGATATCTGCCCATCCATACGTCACACCCGTTTACAGGGCGGACCCATTCTACATCCATTTATTAATCCACCGATCTTAACTTTGACCTGAACCAGAGAATGATTGATAACCAATTCAGTACCCCAGAGTTCAGAGTTTGTTATGGGAACATGGAGGGCTTTGTAACTCGACAGATCTCTCATAAAAACACTAAACATTTTTGTTACAAAATATACAGCGATTGTAGCTTTATCAAAGAACATTTTATTAATCTTAACGAGCTAGACGATTCCTTAGATTTGAAAATTCTTCATTCTAATTGGAAAAAAAAAACTAATCTAAGGAAAACAGATTGCGTGATTGATTAGAAGAAATATATGTGAAGTAATTCAACTCGTTGAAGAAACTTATATATATTTTTAAAAAAATTGGAAAAAATTAAAAAAAAAACATTTAAATTTGCAATAACTTTAGAACAAATGTGACTTCGTTTTTTTAATCATTTTTTAAAGAAAATCGAAGCATAAAAGCAAAACTTTCGTTAAAATTGTAACGAGCATATGAAATTTCAACTCTATAGTTGCATTTCAGCTGTCAGTAGATCGAGCAGCATCGTTTTTTCACTACAAGTTTAACAGTTAATAATTCTCGAATAATACGTTTTTTATTCCATCGAAATCCATATAGTGACTTCAAGTTTCGAAGTTTTATAAAATTTTAGCAGCATAGCAATATGTAACGTATAACAACAGTGTGAAAAAATTCGCAAAAAAACACCTAAACTAGCAATAATTTTCGAGCAAATTGAATTTTTGAAAAAAATGAAAACTCGGCGTTAAGTTCATAAACAAGCCCTTTCAGCATGCCAAATTGTAACTCTGTAGTTGCATTTCTGAGGTCTGTAGAGCTGCCCGTATGGTGTTTCTTCCAACAAGTTAATTCTCCTACAAATTATCGAATATTAAGTTTATTATTCCACTGTAGTTCACGTACAATTTTCTACACATCTTATTGATGCAGATTTTTATTCTAAATCTTGTTGTTCTTGCCCAACAAAACAAAGCAACGTTAGATTGAATATCCTAAACAGAGTCAGCGTTGGCGAAAGACCTTTCGATTTTTTAATATAGAGAGGATTTTTTTTATATAGAGTTGAAATCAATAATAATAATTTCTCTAAGTGTAGATAAATTTTATTTGGTCAGCGAAATTATTGAACAATGTAAAAATGTAATAAATAAAATTGCAAATTATCGCGAAATATCAATAACTATCGATATTTTTCGATAATACATTGCGATATTGAAATTCATAGCTATCGGACATAGTGATCAATGGTCTTGTTGGCGAAAACTTAGAAAAGCAGTCGCCATTGTCAAAATAACCAATAAGTACCAAATTAAATGAGCGAACAGGTTCCAAGTTCGAAACAAAAATCGAAACTTTAAATGCCTTTAAAATTTCCAAAGGACCTATTCCTATCCTTACTTGCAAAAACGTACTAAAGAACCATTTGTACTTGAAAAAAAATTAAATAAAGGAATACAGATTATAAGGTTTATTCGTGGATATAATTCTGAGACACAATTAAAAGAAATAAATGCGAAGTAATTTTACTCGTTAAAGAGACTTAAAACACTTAACAAATGATTCTAAAAATATCAAAACAGCACGTTCGCTTCGCAAAATTTCTAAAAGATAAACAGAGTTTATGAAGTGAAAGTTAAAGTAGAGAATTCTCAAACTTAAATAAATGAAAATCTAATAAAGCTAAAAGCTAAAATAAGTAAAAATAATTAGCTGCATTCTTATTATACAATTTGAAGCGAAATTAAATCGAAGCGATGTCAAATGTCGTCTGCATTCAAACCGAAACCATTTCGTCTGCTCGAATTTTTTGACATACCTGAGTGTTTTGAAAAATAAATTAAAATACTTCTACTAATCGGAGAAAAATAAATTTGGTATCATTGTAAAGAAGAAAGTTCAAATTATTCAATGAAGTAAAAAAATATTTTCGAAAATTTTGACATTTTTCACTTTCCGGGTCCTTAAAAGGGAAACGATTTTTTCAAATCCTACTATTAGTTCACACTTTCTCTCTATATCTATTTATATATCTTGTTCAAATTTATTAATCGTTAATAAAATACTTTTTATTCATATACTTAAGTTCAAATACATTTTTTTAAAACTTGTAGTGGGTTACACTTGACGTTAATGCATTTTTTTCACATATTAATTTATTAATTAAATTTAATTAATTAATTTCAGTTTTATAAGGGAGAAAAAAATTCTCTTTTATAAGATATTTATAGCAAGATAAAAATTTAGGAATACATTTCTCAATTAAAAACGCACTACGTATCTACCGGACCAACGACCAAGTAACAAAAACATAATGGTGCATACATAAGAAATAGTAACACAAAAAATAATGGTCCAACATCATATATATAGAAAGGAAATTGGAAAATCGCTCGCCTTCCAATGTGGCATCCTGGTTCGAATACCAGTCGATACGAATTCCGCATCCGGCTTGCACCGACCGCACTGCTGACGTGAAATATTCTCAGTGTTAGACGGATCATGGGTTAGAGTCCCCTTGCCGTTAGGCTAACCGTGAGAGGTTCTCGTGGTCTTCTTCTCCATGTAACGCAAATGCGGATTAGATCCATCAAAAAGTCCTCCACGAAGGCACTTAAATTAGCAATAAATTTCGAAGAAATAAGATTTTTTGTTATTTTTTAAAAAATCTCTTTTTTAAGATCATAATAAATTATTGCGGCCCTTTCAGTATGCTAAATTTCAACTCTGTAGTTGCAATCCTGATGCTCGTATGGAATTTTTCTATCCAGTTCAACATTTAATAATTCTCGAACAAGTTATCGAATGTTATTTTTTCATTCTGTCGTAATCCTTGTACGTTTTTCTATACACTTAGTAATTTTAAGATATTAAGTTTTATGGTTTTTGCGCATTAAAGTAAAATATAAGGTTAAGCTGAACACCCAAAACAGCACCGGCAGCCCTTACGATTTCTTGATATAGAGAAATTATAATAATTAAAGCCTTTTAAGGAAATATATCTTAAAAGCTGCAACTTTTGTCATAGATATGAGAAAACGAATTAAATTTTTGCTATAAAAATTTATATAGTATCTAGAAGAAAAAAAAATTCCGGAATACTTTTTTTCTATATCGAGGAAAATGCGAAATTATTTATGCCAAAGATAAAAAAAACTAGTTTTGCCTTTGTTTTTCTAATTACGATTATTTTTATTTATAACAGTAATAAAACATAACCCCGAAAAACATAACAAAGAATTTTATTTTTATTTTAGAAAACATTACTGCTATTCGAAAATCATAAAATCGAATAATTTAAAAGAAACCATAATCTTTTGCAAAAAATTTTTTAATTAATCATATCAAGATACTAAATAACCAGTTACTTCATTCAATAATAAACACTTAATTTTTTTGTCGCACGAACATTTTTTTTGTTGTTTCTAATGCCACTCATAAAATATAGACGATATTATGGGCAAGAAAATGACCATGAATTTTTATTGATTATGCTAAAAACAAGTAATTTAATATTATACCAAAATGAAGGAATGATAAAAAAAATATTCGAACGAAACGAAAAGACATTGTAGGCGCAAAATTTTTGAGAAAGTAAAAAATAAGTGCAAAGAATGTAATTTCATCTATTAATTTTTCAGTAGTAAACTTTACCAAAAAATTACCTGTACCATTTCTGGTATTCAAAAGTGTAGAAAATTTATCCCAACGAAGTCAGATTCAGTGTCAGAGGTATTTTGTTTTTTCTCTACATTTTCTTCTAAACGCAAGTAAGTTTTATTAAAGTATCCTTTCCGAAAACCTGCTGTATTTGTCTTAATACTTGATGCAGAAGTTACATTGTCTTCAGAGTTCAGTTTAAATTTACTATTTGTTATGAGATATTAAATTTAGTAACTAAGCTAGGTTGTATATTGACGCTAATAAAATAAAGTAAATAGAATAATATATTTTTAAGGAAGGAAATTTTTGTGTGACGTCAAACAAAATTATCTACAAAGCAATTACTGGATTAGTGTGAAATTACTCAGGGTGTTCCGTAACAACTGCCTTTAACACATATTTTCAAAATCTTGTTAACATTGTAACCAGAAAAGTATACACATTAGAGGTCTCCAATTAATATATAAGAGAAGCAAAAATGGAAACGAATCATTACCAAAGAAGGCGAGAAGAGAAGCATCCAATCCTGTTTAATTGCCGGAGGAAGAAGATAGGAGATGCAACGCATTCGAAATATGGAGGATTTATACGAATAACCTCCAAGTTTCATTAAGAATTCAAGTTAGTTTTAATATTTTTATCCCTTTATCTTTATTATTGATTCGATATATTTGAATATGGTTTTTGTAATGATTTGAGATAGTTGAAATAATTCTAAAACTGTATATTGAGTAATGATTGCGGAACAGTCTCCATAAAAATTAAAATAGTAAAGAGAATTTTTAACACGTTCTTTTATTCTATGTACTTCATTCGTTTTAGTCTAAAAATCTATCAAATTATTTAGAATAAATTTTGAAAAAAACTTACAGATTCATTTAAATAAGCACTGATAATATTTAAATTTAGTGAAATATCTTATCTGTTCTTAGATTTAAGGAACAGATGTTTATCTAATAACTTAAGACATGAAGAAATAATCTTGAATTTACGTTGTGATAAAATTCCCACGTTTGCATATAATTTAACACAAATGTTTCTTCAAATTGTTTTTCTAACTGAATAAGAACCATGAAGGTGATTGTAACTTTCGCTTTGCTTTCCTTTTTCGCATACTGCGTGGTAAGTCTCATATTATGTTCGTAATTTCATAACAACGACAAAATTATTATTTTTAAGGATAAAATTTTCTGTTATAAACAATTAGCTTAGACGAAGCTAATAAATAAGAATTTAATTTGAAAATGATGGATTTTTGAATATATCTAGATTAGAACCCATTATGCATTATAGGAGAACATTAATGCAGTGGATCCACCAATGCAACAATTTTTTTTCATTTCAATTATGAATATCTTAACTACTTCTTAGTGGAAAATATGGCCCCAATAGTTTGGTCAAGCGATAGGTAAAGTTTAGACCCCTTAATGCTAGTTTTACTTTTTGCGTACTTCTCTATAACTCGAAAACTTAGGTGAACTAAAAAAAAATTTGCACGCAATTTTAAAGTTCGTTTATCCAAAGCTCATTTCATGCAAAAAAGGATTTTTAATATTTATTTTTATTATTTTATTTAAAAACAGTAGATAACATTATTTTGAATTATTGAAAAATACAAATTTTTACATCATGTTAAGGAATTTTTATTTTCTATAGGAAAATACAAAATTTGAACGAAATCGGTCGGATAGTTCCTGAAAAATTGTATTTTAAATATATGACTTTTACTATGTATTTGCGGTCACCCCTTTCAACTATTAAGTCCTAGTGCATGAAGATGTGATATATCAAAAGTCATTTACTACGTTTTGTTTATTTACTTATTTATTACGCATATTATATGTATATTGTTGGATCAACTTATATTGTTGAATCTACTAAAGGGTCTACTTCTGAGGGGGTTCTACTTTCAGCTGTCCACCCGATTGGGGAGTTTGTTCCCGCACTCCCCCAGATCCCAAGGTCAAGAAAATTGGGAGGGGCATAATAGTCCCTAGCCCACCATGAGCTGTTGCGCTATTGCGTTTTATTTATTTATTTATTATTGTTATATTAGGAGAAATAGGGCTTGAAAATGTTTAAATTGTCTATGAATTTTTCCTGAAAACTTTAAAGCAATAAAGTTATGCGATTTGTGGTTTTAAGTAAGTCATTTAATGCTGCACATTTTTCAGTTTTTAAATTTTTTAAAATTCAATTTTACTGCAGTTCAAGCTGTTAAAAACCGATTTGGATGATGCTAAAAAACTCTTTACAGTTAATTACAGCAAAACAAATACATTTTTATCTAAAGTTTAAAATCAGACAACTGTATACTATTTAACTACTTTTCGAAAACTGCTGATTGCAGAATTGTATTGGTGTAATTTTCTCAGAAAAAAATTAACGGAGAATTTAAAATTCTGCACGTTATCTCAAATTCTAGAGCGAACTTCAAAAACCTTATATTTTGAATTAGAATTTATTGCTGAATAATGTAAATCACTATCAATTTATTTGGGAAAATTAAGAAAAATGTGATTAAAAGCTCACCCACACACATATTTTACTCATTCGATGGTAGAGAAAGAAGACCTTTTTGTTTTGTCCCCCCCCATCGTTTTTTTTTTATTTCCTATGAGCTGCACAATCAGTCTTCCCGATGAGCAGACCTAGTACGTTCTCCAGAAGTGGTATCTACTCTTTCAGGACCACCACAATGGGTGAGATACCGTTGGCCATGTTAATTTGGACGTCTAGTTTCTGCCACACTAGATGGCAGCACCGAGACTCTATTTGGATGCCGGAGTGCACTAGGAATTTTAAGTTTGCCGGAATCGCCAAGAGCCAATAAGGCACTCCAGGGATCTTTTACATGCCGCATAATCAGACGACATGGCCGCTGAGGAGTTTTTGCATCCCGAAAATACGGTGTCTGGGCCGGAGATCGAACCCGCAGAATTGGGCTCAGAAGGCCGACGACAAACCAACTGCGCCACCCAGCCCATCGTTTTATGACCCAATTTATTGGTCACAAATTTTTTTTTCCAATGCCCATCTGAAGAATGACCTTTCGTCATACAGGCATGTGAAGGGTAGATTTATCGACCACTCTTTCAGAGGCACCATATTAGGTGTGCCAACGTCGCCCCCACAGCAAGGACAGATAGTACACAGTCTGAAAGAGACCCGGGACACGAACTCAGAACTTTTCTGATGCAAGGCCAGTTCCCTAACCCCTACACAGGCTGGTATCACAACAATAAAAGATAGTTTTGTAGTAACTATATAAATCACAATTTTAATAAATGGATTATTTCATTTTAGGTGTCCGAAGAGGGGACGACTTGCAAAAAAACATCAGATTGCGATGAAGGTGAATGCTGTGTTCGCATCCATAGTTTGACTGCGTACAAGTGTAAAAAACTAAAACAACTAGGTTCGTTTTATTGACTCTTGTTTTCAAAAAATTGGGCATTTGTTTTTGTTACCACATAAAACTTCTAAGTAGTTGGGGGCCATTATATATATTAGCTATAGTATACTTTACACAGAGTGTCCAAAAATATCTCGATACCTCATCGGTTCAAACATTTAAAAACAAACACGTGAAAAATATTCAAAAGATGAATTTAATGACACCAAAACGGACTTGCCACTTGCTTATTATCCAAGCTTTGAGAGTGGGGATTGAGTTTGGTGTCATGATATAGGTTGCTCAAAATATGAAACGCTCTTATTCGTATTTTTTTCAGTATGACGTGTATTGCTCGAGACATCTGCATTTTTAACAGTATGCACCTTATTTTCTGTTTTGTTATTACAGTGCAACCTGTTAACCAAAATGAAAAAAATTGTAGCAAAGTTGGGATACTTTTTTTTCTGGAAAATTCAAATCTGCAATTAGAAATGATGGTTCCGGTTTATGATCATAAAATTTCCCTCAACCAATTCCATAGTTTGAAGTTGGTATTCCGAGTTTGATGTCAATGAATATATTTTTAAAAATATTTTACGTGTGCATTTTAAGATTTGTGATCTGATTTTTATCGAGATATTTAGCAGTTTCTATACTTTGGGGTCATCCTGTATAAAGAAGAATCCTATTCGAAACTTTCATTGTGGATTACAGAAATTTATCAAAATCTTAAAAGTTTATTATTTAAAAACTTTCAAACTTAGCGTTGAAAGTAAATTTTGAAACTATTATTATTATTATTTAAACCTGAAATATTTTTTTCTTAAGGAATATTGTTATTGAACTGAAGATTAACTTTTCTAAATTTATATATCTGTGCTCTGCACTTTGTTACTGTTTAGGTTAGGTTTTGTTTTTGACGGCCCTTACAATAGCAACAGAATATTAATGTTTTCTGTAAAGTCATTAAATAAGTCAACTTTCAATGGTAAATAATGTTTTGTAAATATTTTTTAATGCAGATTTGTATTCTAAGGTCTATTTTCTCAAATTCTCTGAAATGACACTTAACATGTTCTTCTGTAAGACTAAAAGAGACCAACTATATACTAATGTTGTGTAAATATTTTTCAATGCTGACATGTATTCTAAATCTTATTCTCTCAAATTCTCTGAAATGACACTTAATATGTTCTTCTGTAAGACTAAAAGAGACAGACTATATACTAATGTTGTGTAAATATTTTTCAGTGCTGACATGTATTCTAAATCTTATTCTCTCAAATTCTTTGAAATGACACTTAATATGTTCTTCTGTAAGACTAAAAGAGACAGACTATATACTAATGTTGTGTAAATATTTTTCAATGCTGACATGTATTCTAAATCTTATTGTCTCAAATACTCTGAAATGACACTTAACATGTTCTTCTACAAGACTGAAATCGACCCAATATAACCAAAGTATTCATCCAGAATGTTAAGTAACGACTTCGGTTCCATAAAATATGTTTTCCTTTTAAACGAACCTCTCCTTTTAAACCAGCAAAAACATTAACAGAAAAAAAATTAAAAAATTCTCTTTTTGATGTTTATGTGTATTTTAAAGCTAGCTTTTTCCCATTCTTTAAAATGGTATTTAACATACTTTTCTACAAGAATAACAAAAATCAAACAAAACCAAAATATTTACTCAAAACGTTAAATGATAACTTTGCTTCCATGAGATAGCTTGTATATTTTTCTTTTTCGTTTTAAAATGAATTCTAACATTATTTTTTTTTAAAAATAAATTTACTAAATTTATATCACATATTTTTCAAATATGATTTGTTGTTCAAAATATATCTTCGTTTTTATTTTCGCAAGTTATTCTTTCACGTTATTTTCAGATGATTCGTGTTTTCCAAATCCCGATTGGAATTTGACAGAGGATGGTTTGTACCGTTATATGTGTCCTTGCGCAGAGGGATTGGAATGCCAAGCAGAAGAAACAGTCACCGAAGGGGATGTAAGTTTCATGAATTAATGTCTAAATGCATTTTTAATGGTATTGTTTTGTCCTGTTATACAAAATCTTTGATTCAGTGTCTGAAACACTGAAAAGGGATATAAATGTTTTGCCATGTTAGGAAAATCTAAGTAGATTTTGTGTTTAAAATACTGAAAAGAGATCTAGGTTTTGTTTGTCCTAGTAAACAAATATTAGAAGATTTTGCGTTTGAAAAGCAGAAAAGGAATATAAATTTCCTTTCCCTGTTTGTCAAGTATAAGTAATTTCTGTGTTTAAAATACTGAAGAGGGTGTAAGTGTTTTTGTCCTGTTTTTCAAGTGTCAGAAGATTTTTTTTCTCACTTTAGCTAAACTATGCTATTTTGTAAGAGCTATGCATGAATGAGAAAGGAAAATTTGAATGAAATTGTAGACCAACTTAGCTCCTGATTAACGTAAAAACATATTTAAAATTTAACATGAATAAAATTGTGAAATTGCTAAAAACATCATTAAAAAGTGGATTAAATTGTATTATCCTGCCACGTAAGAGCCTATATCACGATAACTATTAACGAATCATAAGATATTTTTATCGCCATATATTTTTTCGCGGTAAAAAAATTTAACTTTAACATACCTGGTCTTAATTACATTTTATTGAAATGCAATAATATTAGTCTAGCAGCTGAAGATCTCTTCTAAATCTGTATCTCATTTGCAAATAACCGTTGCAATTTAGCAAAATTAGAAATACGAAATGAAATTGTTTTCGCTTTTATTATGGCAAGTTCTGAAAACCTGTCTGATATTTTGTATACTAAAACATAAAAATAATATTGTTAGTAGTAGCACTTGTGTGTGGATTCGGTTACAAATATTCAAATCCTCTCATTACATTTCACTATAATTTAGAGACGATAATAATATATACAAAAAAAATGGAGAATGTAAATAAATGTAAGTAAAAGTTGTAAGTCAACGGTTAGTCCCAGTAGCCTTTCTATTAGACTATCAGCATACATTTTGTTGAAAATCTTTTTAAAAGATAATTCATAACTTTGACTCAACATTAAAATGATATGAAGTTTTGTTTAAAATATATTACTTGGTTCGAAAAAGAATTCTTTGCTTGTAAAACATATCAAATACTTTCTAAGTTACAAGACGTTAATATAACGTTCCCTGAACTTTGGTGATATTTTGTGAAACCACGTGGATTTAGTCAGGAATTGTGTCATGTCCTTGCGTTTGAACTTAGAATTATGTCGACAACTTAACTAAATCAGCTACAGGACCGACATCGTTTTGAGTTCAAGTAGTGTTGAGTTTGTTATGAATTCCAGTTCCAGGGGGTCTAAGTTACTCGGACTAAGTTACTCGGAAAGAAATTAAAAGTGTTAGAATAGTATATTCTTCTTTGTATGACACGCTTGGTTATAAGTTACCAGCAATTAGGGTACCCAAGTAATCTCCTCCAGCTTTCAGGTCCCCCGTTGTGTTCCGATCAATTTACGTAATCATAATTCTTTTCTTCTTTTTTCTATAAATACTTCATTGCAAGGACAGTTTTATCAGTAATTATTTTACTTACTTATTGTCTTTTTTTTATGTTTCAGGTTACTACGTTCAAAAATGTTAGATGTGTGCAGAAAGAATCTTGGTACTGAATTCTCTTCCGATAAAAGATAAAAATGTGATTACAATGCTCTGTATTTGTCTTGTAAAGGAAATAAATATGCTGCATTTTATGTAAAATTATTTCCTAACAACCAATTATTAAATACAGGAAGTTCCAAAAATGCCCGAGGTTTAAAATCATTTTAAAAGAATATTCAAAATAGAAATGTTAGCAGCACTGTAAAAAATGGATGCTCAAGTTTTATGAGACTTTCTTTCTTCGTTTTTGACGAAACCGTTTCCTAGTGTACGCTTCGAGTAAATCTTTCGTCAAAGTGACGAAATAACTATCGTCACTTATTATAGGAAACGAAGTTCATCAAAAGTAAAAGAAAATATTTCGTCGTTACAATTCATTCGTTTTGTCTCCATTCTAGTTAACAATCTCCCACAATGCATTGCAGTGAGGTTCTCAGTTTAGGAAACATTTTCGTCGCATATTTGAGAGTTCACGCTTTGTCACAAATCACGAGATTTCGTGACGAAATGATTCTCCAAAGTTAACTAAATACAGATCAAGGAGTGCCGAATCATCAAAAGTGAGAGTTTTATTTCTGAGAGTGCGTGTTTTGCTTTGAAAACCCAGTTCCTTCTCACCAAATTTTAAAATCGTAACACAGCTCATCATAACATAGTGCTAATAACTGAAAGAACTATAAAACAATATTTTCAAAATAATCACCATTTGCTGCAAACACATGGTGTAGTGTTAGAACAAAATTAACTATATGCTTTAGCAAATATTATAGTTGGAATGAGATATGACCTGTAATGCAGCAGCAAATACTGTTTTTCCAAAGAGCAGCTCCATCAGTTAACAATCTTTGTAACTAATTTTGAAACTTGCGGAAAACAGAGATTGGTTTTCAATAACTTAGCAAACTACTCATTCATGCCTCCTGCTTTTATGTAATTGATTTTACAAATCATTATTCATATTGTTTTTGGGTTTCATATGACAGTTTTAAAAATATGTTTTATTAATAAATATGTCGTGACATGGAGATATTTAGCAAGATCTTTAGATTATTTTTAAACAAATTGCCGATTTAGAATTCAGGCATGCAATATTTAAAATGAAAAAGAATGACGAATTAATAGAAATTATGTATGTACTGTTCATTACACTTTATTGCGAATAGTTAACAAAATAGTTATTATTAATTATAGTTAAAGAAAATATACGTGGTTTCTTAAAAAATGAATCAGTACGAAAATTACCAAGTTATTAGCCTTAATCGTTCTAAAAATATCCTGAAAAAAATTCCATCCAGGATTGGTTAAGGAATTGCTTAATGCATCTAGTTTTGTTTCGACAATAAATAAATGCGTGATCAAAGCTGGTTCTGAATACACGTGATCGATCGACTACGTTTCGTTAAAGAAACCATAGTTAAGTAAAATATTTTTAAAAAAGTGATTGTCCCATTGTAGTTTTTAGTTAGTCTTAGTATTACATATTTCAGATTGGTTCACTGCCTGAGATTGGTTAAGGTTCATTGATAACTATTGCAGATTTTTCGCAAAACTTTTTCTAATGTATAATATTACCAGACATTGAAAGATACGCTGAAAAATTTCCAATCCCAGTAATTCCAGAAATTTTGTCCCGGGAATTTTCAATCAGGTTAAGAACTTGAATTTACTTGTGCTATAAAAGATTATTTACACTGCCATGTATAGCCTAAATAGTCATGACTGCTTTAAGAAAAAAAATTTAATGTTTATAAATTATCGTAACAGTAAGTAATTAACATTGGTTAACACTTTGATTTGTGTTAATAAAACCAAGTATCCATTAGCAAGGTTATTTTTGAAAATTGAAGGTCTGAAAATATGTGAGATTTTCAATGGTCATCGTAATTATGTACCGCTAAATTTAAAATGTTATAAATTTTTATTATGAAGTTTCAAATATGAAAGAGAGTTTGTCAGATAAAAAATAAACGCTCTGAAAATACTAAATTTAATAGTCATCATTCGATTCTAAAAAAAAAATATGCGATTTTTTTTTCGTTATTTCAATTAAAAAAATTTATTTTATTTTATCAAATTCGAATAAAACAGCTATTGGATTTTTAAAATATAGTTTCCTAGTGACACATTTTTCGCGGGGAATGTATAAGATGTAAACTGCTTATCACTAGTAAATAATAATAAAAATAAATTATGGGACATCTAACTACTTATCTTATATTTTCAGGACTTGTTTGTGTAGCAGTAAGTAAAGATTTTATTTTTAATTTTAGTCGTGTTATCTTTTTGTTTCTATAAACATCTTCATAGAAACAAAAATTTGTATCTTTTTTGTTGCAATAAAATACGTTTCGAAGCTGAAATAAAACTGCAATTTCAAACGGTTTAATGCTATATCTCTTTAATTATTTTACTTATTTTAAAGGTTTATGTGGGTTTTCATTTATATGGGTTGTTATGGCAACCATCAATAGTGGACATAGATTTAACGGGTTACTGACTAAATTTATTGCAGCTCCTTTCCACAAAAATTTATTTTTGTATTTAGTGGGATTTTAAAAAAAAATTATCCAAAATTTCGGTTTTTATATTTTTGCTGTATTTATATTAAGGAATTCTTTTAAATTTTCTTTTAAAAAATTGATTGAAAGATAAAACATGGGGTTTTGAATAGATCCTCGGTAGCCCCGGGCCCTAGAAAGACTGCTTCGGTCTCCCTTCTCGAGTATGACCTTGACAATTATTACTATAAATTATACCTGCAATAGATAATGAATAAGAACTACAGAAGATACAAGGAGAAGAAAGAATGTCAAAAATTACCAGAATATAGTAAAATTTACCTATTTCTAGCTCTATGGAAACACCAAAAAACTCGGAAATTTTTAAAGAAAAATTTTGGGGATGATTTTGGTTCTATTAACCATAAAATATAATGTTGAAATATGTGAATAAATTTTGTAATTGCGGTAGAATTTGGTAATTTTATCATCATACCTTAGAGCATGGCATAAAAACCGTTTATTTAGTTAAATAGACTTTTCACTTTTGTATTTTTTACTAAATGTCTAGTTTTCAAAATTATAAGAACTACAATTTTGAAAAATAGAATATCCGGTAAACCGTTACCATATGAACATAAAAACTACGAAAAGAATGCTTTATAAATCTCATCTATTATGGTTTTATTATAAAAATTGTGCTGTTTTTTTCTATAAGAAATGTTATTAACATACAGTTAAATAATTTTACTAGAATTTTACTCTACGCGTAGGAACGAATCAGTTTGACGAATCTGTGAATTAGCTTGTTTATGAAGGAGTGAATCAGTTATCAAACAAAATCCAATTATTTAAGGTACGGCAATCGACGACCACATTTTGATTTTTTTTTCCAAAAATTAGCCGATAGTTTATTCTTTCCAGAATTCACGTAACTATTATCGTAAATAAGCAAATCAGTCATTCTGCCTTTTGCGAAATGGGAGAGTCAGTTGGCAAATATAGAACGGTAATTTAGGTTTAGAATACGATTTTATTTTTATTTAACGATTACATTTTTATTCATAAATTTTACAAAGATAATTTGAATAAATTTTTTCCTTCTTAATTTCTGTTCACATTTGTTACATGTATATGTGTATGAATGTTACATTTGTTACATTTATAGGATAATAGTAATCCTCCTTTGACCACTAAATAATAAGTAAAATCTTTTCTGGCTGTTAAAAACATATTTAATTTTTTTGCTATCTGCACTTTTAATAAGCAGTTATGCAAAAATTGGAGTTTAACAAAGAATTTAGTAAAGTGACTATTATTGTTTGCATGAAAAAGTTGTGAGACATCTGTAATCAACGATTAACAGTATACTCAACTATCAGCGATACTCAACGATTACTCAATAATCAGCAACTAAATTTTCTCTTCACGGAATCACAAGATGCAAACAATATGGTGAACAACAGTTGAATATCATTCCAGTTGTGAACGAAATTTGTTTGTGAATGAAAACAATTTAGTTTACGAATGAAAACTAAGTGCTTTGTCTAATATTATATTAATTAATTTACATAGTTGCAGAAATAAACATCCGATGCAGAACAACTGTTGGTAACTATGCTATATATATATAAATATATATACAATAGGAGGTAAAAATAGAAAATTAGAAAACGATATTGAAGATTTTCTAAAGGGAAGTGAAGTGAAGTGAAGTTGAGTAAGTGTGGAGTCGTTTTNTAGTTGCAGAAATAAACATCCGATGCAGAACAACTGTTGGTAACTATGCTATATATATATAAATATATATACAATAGGAGGTAAAAATAGAAAAATAGAAAACGATATTGAAGATTTGCTAAAGAGAACTTGATGTGAAGTGAAGTTGAGTGAGTGTGGAATCGTTTTCTCGTTTTAAAGTAATATATTTTTTGTTTTAAATATAGTAGATGGTAGATCAAGAAACTTACCCACGACCTGGAACTGTTGAAGCCCGCTCCAAAATTCTGCAACTTATGAGAAATTTATTGTTTAAAGATTAACAGTTGTTAATTGATTGATTGTTGATCTCATTAGTCTACATTTGATAATAATTCTTTTATCAATATTTCAAAAATTTCTTACAGAAAATTAAACTACTATGACGAAGTCAAAATCATAAAGAATAATTAAATGCAATTCACGATTTTTACAAATTTGGAAAACATTCCTTTTAGGGAAAGTTGGAAATGGGGTTTAATCGTTTTAAAACGCACTAACTTTAAATGCACTAATCAAATTCTTAATTTCTAAATGTATATTTTTTATGAATTTTTTATTTGAACAGAAAAGTGACAAAAAAATATTGTCAATGCAGTATTGGAAAATATTTGGTATTAAAATAAAAAATTTGCTTTCAATACATTTGAATTCAAGATAAAATCACTTAATTATAAAAAGAAGAAAAGGAAAAAATCTTTACTCTTCTCTTAAGATGAAAACCAATTAAAAGTTTTAGTTGTTTCCGAATGGCATCGTCAGAAAAGTTTTGAGCTGGCCCTTCTTTGTCGAGGAACTGACTCAAATTAACTTTTTGTGAAATCGATCGAAGGTTGCGCAAGGTTTGAAAGTCAATCAGATAGAAAATATTAATGCAAAGTTTCCCTATATTTTGAATTAGCATTAGAAGTAGTACCTTCAAACAATGCAATTAAAAAATAAAGGACTGGCAGAATTGGTACGGATTCCGATTTTTCGAATATTCAATTCTTTCTATTTGCGAACCAAGCTTTTGTTTTCGACGCTTTCCCCTGAGATATTTCAAAAGCTAAGTAGAGTATATTATGGACAATTGAAGTTGTTTAGATAAAATTTATATGTAAATTACGAAAGAAGAAAACGAAAAATACAGGAACGTGATAAACCATAGTTAAGTAGAATGATCCCAAAATGTCTAGATTTATTTATTTATATATTATATTTCGCGAATATTTTTCAACTTTTGTTGAGATTTATTGAGCAAACTGTACTTGCGATGAAGAGGGATTGCGGCTCTGGTTGTGTGTGGTACCCAATAACCTTTACTTTTGACACTTTCCTAAGGTAAAAACTATGTAAATTGGTCGGTTATTCTTTCTTTTTCGTTAGAATTCTGACAAAGAACGGAACGAAAAAAATGTATTGTTTAGTTATTCTCATTCATTAGAGGTATGAAGACTGAGCTGGATATGTTGACATTTAGAAAATCACAAGAATGCCTCGTCTCGAGAGAATTTTCGTAATTTTCATCACGATTGCTTTTCTATTGGATAAAGGATGTACCAAACTTATTGTAAGTATCATATGCTAATCAATCATACATTGATTCAAAAATATTTTGATACAAATCAATGATCATTATCAATATCGATGTCATTATCGTGAAATTTCTTTTACAACAATACATCAATTGATCTTTTAAATCATATTTTGTAACAAAAAATTCAATTCAATGATCATTATCATTATCGCTGTCATTATCATTATCATTGATCATTATCATTACCGATGTCATTATCGTGGAATTTCTTTTACAACAATGCATCAATTGACCTTTTAAATCATATTTTGCAACAAAAAATTCAATTCAAAGTCAATTATATTCTTACTTATAGTATTATTATCTTAAACGTTGTATTGTTTCAAGAACATTTCTGTCATTATCAATATCATTATCATGAAAATTCCTGTTCAGGAATATGTCAACTAATCTTGAAATTCCAAATTTTGTAACAATTAGTGTGAAACATCACTTATAATATTACTTGCTCACAATCTTATCATCTTAAACGCTACTTATGTATTGCTAAAGATTATTTCTATATTATCGAAATCATTATCATGGAATTTGTTTTACGGCGATATATTAAATAGCTTTCAAAATCATCTGTTTCTGTATTTTGTAACAAATAGTATTAAACATTTTTTATCATCTTACTTCACAATCTTAACAATACCACTTAATATTTAAAGCTACCAATCATGTATCGATTCAAGAATATTTCTATCATTATCATTGATCATTATTGTTATGAATATCATTATCATGAATTTTGTTTTACAGAAATATATCAATTAACTTTCAAAATCATCGATACGTAAATTTCCGAATAAATAGTAAACGACAAACTTGAACCCTGCAGTTAGTATTAAGCTGAATTTAATTATTGATATTAATTAACTGAAATAATAATGTTAAGTGACAATTATTATTATTAAAAATGAAGCCTTAATTGTTACTTATTTAAATTAATATTTGGACGAGTTTACTAACTGTTAATATCCATATTTGACTTTATAAAATTAATATTAAACTATTATTTGATTTTATAAAACTAATTCTTAAAAAAATTCTGAACAATTAATCCTTCAATGAATATATGAAATATGATATTCAATAAATGTATAAAATGATATAAAATGTAATGAATATATAAAATCTTATGAATATATAAAATCCAATGAATATATAAAATATAATGAATATATAAAATATAATGTATTTAAAAAATCTAATGAATATATAAAATCTCTCATTTAAATTAAATTTTTTTTTGTAACATTCCAAACAAAATACAACAAGAATGAAGCACAAATAAAGGTGCAAGGTACTTTTTTTCACATAAATCACATTGTTTTTTGTGTTATTTATAAATGAAGGATTTGAGATAATCTAATGACAAACCATAGTTTCAATTGTTCAGGCATTTCCGGTAAAAAATTCCATGTAAACTCTAATGTGCCTCTGCGTATTGTTCTGTTATATAGTAAAAATCTTCAAATTGTGTGAAGTATCTATTTGGAAATGTTAGAAAAAGCAATATGATGAAAAATTTCATCTTCAAAAAAAGTACGATCGATACCTTCGAATATTAGATTGGCTGACGAATTTTTTTTGGTAAGATTTAAAAAGGATTTTCTAAACTATACAAGCAAAATTCTATAGTATGAATAAGACAAAGTACATTTCCTTGTCTTCGAAAACTGAAAATGAGAAAAAAATTAATAATTAAATGTTTTGTTGAAGTTCTATTTGAAAGTTAAGATCGAAGTTTTACTTAAAAGTTTCGAAATTTTTTATGATCGCTAATTCATATAATCTTTTATATGATTGCTAATTCATATTGGTAATTAATATGATAACTAACATTTTTCTGGATAATAAAACTAAAATATACGGTATTTAAACCGTTCATTTGTTAATTTTTCCGTTCATATGGTAACAGTTTACTGGAAATTCCAGCTTTTTAAAATTATAGTTCTTATTATCACAAATTTAGTAAAAAATACAAAAAAGAAAAGGAAATTTAATCGAATAAATGGTATTTGTTCCATATTCGGTATCAACAATAAAATCATCAAATTTTACCTCATTTATTAAATTTTATCACATAATATAAAACCATATTTTATTGCTAATTTTAAAGAATAATTAACAAAGCACTGCGGTAATAATTACCGAAATTTATGGAGTTTCCATCAAGCCAGAAACACGGTCAATTTTTATCACATTACAGTAGTTTTGAACGTACTTGCTTATAAAACACCTGTGCTTATAAACACACATATCATATATATATATTAAGTAATCACATAACTAGTTCGCTTATAAAACACCTGTGACTAATTACAATCTTGCATCCTTTCCACTATTCTACAATTTTCTTAAAAATTAGCATTTTATAAACCACGCTCTTTTGATATTGAGAGACCAACAGATGGCGCTTTCAAGAGATTGAGACTAAACTGTTTATGGTAAGTACAATTTTTTAAAGTCTTAGTTTGAAAAATATGAACTAAGCACGCATTTTTAGAGTATGAACTCAACAGTCTTTTGCTTTCAATTTTCTTCTATATTTTGTTAAAACAAAAAGAAGCGATATAATCCAATCTACAACAACTGTTTATTATATGAAATGGTGATATACAGCTTTTTTCAAGTTGTAAAAAAGATAACAATGTCAAGCATCAAAACAGTGCTAGAACGTAGACAGACTTTTCGGTATTGATGTTAGGTGTTTTGTGTTTGCTAACAACTCAGAATCAATTTTTGTCAACACGAATTGAGATTTGAATTACGCATCGTCGTTGATTGTTATTTTCTTTTAGCGATTCGTAGTTTTTGTGATGTAAGTCGTGTGATCAGGAATCATCTCTAATAAATTATCAACGGAAAGTGAAAAAAAAATTGAAGCTTATTTATTAAATGGCGGCTATTATCCGAAGTTAGATTTTTTTAAGCGAATTTAAATTTTTAATGGTTCTGGAGATTCACTTGGATGTGCTAAATGATTTATGCTGTTTTATAATTAATTTCAAACTATTGTTTCCAAATAAAATATTATATATCAAGCAATATTTGAACTTTAAAAATGCTACATTAATAGTATTGCATTGGTTCTAACTTAGTAGTCAAAAAAAGTTACAAACATTTTTTTTTTTAACCGTCGTTGAACAGCCGACCCAATTTTGGGTTTACGACTTCATAGCCTTGTAATTTGAACCATTCCAGAATACAAGGATACCAGGATCAGTACCCCCAGAAGTATGATTTGTAATGGGAACATAGAGAACTTTATGATACGACAGATTTAACGTGCACCAGTCATTATTTACTACACTTCTTGAACATGGGCCCAGTGCCCTACCAACCAGGCTATCTTGGCTCTTGTTCAGACATTGAAAATGTTTAATAAGGATACTCTTAAAAAGTAATAAAATTTTTGAAAAAACAAAAGCATAGTATAGGACAGCACACTTCGCTGCAATTTTAAAAGCAGTAAATATTATAAAAATTAAATTTATTATTTATTAATTATTTTTTTTAGAAAATATTCAATGAATAAATAGTCTGAAAGACTCTCAACCTTTCACTATTTGTGGAAGGGTCTTTAAACTAAAAAGATTTATAACGTATTATTAAAATCTTAAGAAAAAACAAGTAAGATTTAATACTTAGGTTTTTTAAGTTCATGATTCATGTTTTTAGCAAAGCTCATAGGTTAAGAACCCTTAACGTCAATGACTTGTAAGAAATGTTTATAACTTCAATGTCATGACTGGTGGCATCAACAAGGAAGGTCATACAACACAATGACTCTCGCATATAACGGAATGTTTAGAATCAATCTTTAAAACATTCTAAGGTGGATAGAACTGCATCAACTGCAGAAAACATTAAGTATGTTGTTATTTCATTTACAGATGATTCATAACAGGTGTTTCTCGTTAAAAAGAAAAGATTTGAAAAAAGAAACACTTAAAAAATAAAACCTTTAGGAAAATCATATGAAAAATACTAGATGAGCTTTAACGTGGATTTGAAGTTTGAGATAACATAGCTTGGTAGAACCAAATTAATTTAAGGTAGAGATTGCATTTCTTTTTTTTTCCGTAGTACCACTTATCAATATCACAAGACTAATGTTATAATTATAATTACAAATACAAAACTAAATAGTATACGGCAAATTTATGAAATATATAATATTGTTAAAGTTTTTTTTCTTAAAGGGCAACGCATAAATAAAAATAATACTTAAAACGTGTTTGGATGTAGTAAGGAGAAAAGCATATTAAGGCTTAATTGTCTTTTTACCGTCGCCATTTTGGATTTTTTATTTCCGTTTTCTTGATGTTTTTCTTCTTTTTTTTATGCTTAACAAACTTTTCCCGACGGAGTATCCTTCGAAAACTATTTACCTTGCAAAATAGGCTGAAAATGAAAAGGTTGCTTTATGAGAGAAATAGTGCTAGGTAGTTTTTAGAATTTCTGTAGAATTCTGCACTATACGATTTCTGGTATTGAGTAAGTTATTAAAAATTTCACATTTGTCAGTTTTTTTATTTTGCATAATTTAATTTTATTGCACATTTTAAATTAATAAAAACTGATTTGGATGAGGCTTAAGTTTTTTTTTTAAATTTTACTTTACGCAAAAATAAAGACATTTATAAAAAAAATTGAAAACTGACAAATGCATAGTATGTACTAAACTATTTTTTGAAAAATTCTGATAGCAGAATTGTATTGATATAATGTTATTAGAAAAAGAAATGTACACAGAACTTAAAATTCAGTAATTCTTGTATCTCAAACTGAGATTATCTGACGGTATTACATTTTACATGTTTCGAAAGATACTGTCGAAAATCTTTCGAATTCATTCATTTACTTATTTTTTTAACAAGAAAGTGTAAAAACACCTTTATTGATGATACACATTTTAAATATTAAAGATAAAAAATAGGGCAGAAATTGAAAACCTAAACAAATGTACTAAAAGAATTAGT